AAAAAATCTACAAATTTGGTTGAACTGCAACTTTAACTAAAGTGAAGCTTAAACCAAGTTATATCAATGTTATATATGAAAATTTCTGAAAAAGGTTTTATTCTATTCATAATCAGACTCTGAATTGTATTGATTTAGCTGATTTTTGAAACATTTTAAAACGTTTAACTACCAAAAAAAAATAGTGTCCGTTATCATGGCAACCACTCATATTTTCCCCCTCAAATTAAGTTTGTGAGCAGTATTCAATTACTGCTTCTACCAGGCAATTTATTGACAAAATTTGAAACTCTCAAATATTAAGTATATTGCACTCTGCCTTGTTCTTATAAAGAGCTGTACTTAAACATGTTAAACGTTCTAGATTTTCATTATATTTATACACTTCTAGAACCGTTTACAACCAAAGAAATGAAAGGGGATTTGAAAAATATGTCTTCATTTTATTTATAGGCTTAAAACACAAAAACAAGGAATAGCTTGGCACAATATATGTTTTAAATAGGTGAAGAGTAAATTATTTTTTTCACGACTTTGAGTAACCAATAATAGAATCCTAATTTCATGAGTAACAGAATCCATATTTTTCTTTGAATACTATAGGTGAACTTATTTTTTTTTCCTGACAAGACTCCTTACAAAGTCATTTTGCTTTGCATTATATGGATAAGATATTTTATTCATGAAATCACAACATTGTTCATCCTGAAGATGCGTGAAATATTTGCCATTGGACCTAAAGCAACCAAAAATTCATCGCTCAAAACATTGTTACTCTTTTTAATCAAACAATTGTCTTTGTAAGTAGTAACTCGCCGAACACTGTTTATGATATACCTACACTACGCAAACATTAAAATTTTGATAACGATTTTTTGTAAGTCTTTCTACATCTTTTTGATACAGTATTCAATAGGCAGAATGGATATAGTAATATTTTGTAAGAGTTATTTCCCGTTTTGCCTTTTACATACTTGATATGTCGGTGTTGATCATAACTGTAGGTCATAAAAACCATCAACCTGTTGATATAAAGTCTTTAATGAAAGAAACTAATGCCTTGAAATTAACGGTATTATTTGATTTAATTGTGCTATAATACATCATTATAAGATATTTATATCAGTCATTTTCTTTTAAGGAATATTTCGCCCTCGTGAAAAGCTCTTATTCCTAGTCCGAATTTGGCTATAATGTAGATCCTGTGTGGTTTGATCATCTCCTCGGTTGTATTAGGATTTGCATTTTCAAAAAGTTTGGCGTCGAGCTTCACTGTAAAGACATTAACTGTCGAAATTCGTATATGGTAAAGTAGAATTGGTACTGTTAAACCATGTCATCATTAAGGAATCATAGCCCCTGACATGTTAGATAAAAGCTTTATTGATTTCAACTTCCAAATGTTTCATGATAAATCCTTGTGGTATTTAGTTTAATGGTATGTGACCTTGACACAAACAACCGGACGTATCTTTGAGGAAACTGGTAGTTGTTTGAGAATTTTTGCAAGGAAAATTAGCTAAGAACAACTTTTGTTCTTGGATCGGTGTTAAGTAATATTTCTTTTGACAGCAGAAGGAAATATTCTGTAAAACGAAATAATCTGTTTCATTTCACTAAAATGTACCTAGAAAAAATATATTTTTTTGGAAACAGTAGAAAATTACTTTTCAAAAAACAATCCGTTAAGCATCAATGGAAGATAAGTTATCTTCTTCACCGAACGAATAGCTATTTTCTGGCAGTAACTATTCTTGCATTCACATGCAAAAAAGTGGATTGTCTTGTATTTATTATTTTCTGAACAAATGGCTACTTATTGTTTATTGTATTTCTATCATGCATGAATTGTAATATAATAACGTCATCTTAAATTAGGGGACTGGGTAGACTTAGCGGTCTAACATGTCTAAGTAGTTCAACTATTGCATCACTTTTAGCCTTGAACACTGAGGCTGCGAGTTCGAACCTCGCACGAGGCAGGTGCGCTCCACTTCAATCTTAATTGACACGGATTGTCAGTTCCTCCGGAAGATCAGTGGTTCTATCCGGGTACTCCAGCTTTCTCCATCAATAAAAACCAACCGCCACGAAATAGCCATTAGTGCTAAAAGTAGAAGTTAAGCAACAATAAATCAATAAATCAATTATCTTATTTTCTTGAGTATTTGACTTCATTGAAACAGGATACTCAGAATCTTGTTTTACATTTAATATTTTTGTATACATAAAATTTAAATTATTACGATTAAGTTTTTTTCAACAGGATATTGTTCAGACAGAAAATATAGACATCAAACTCATGTCAAATAAAAACAAGTCCATTATGTTATTACTTTCATAGTTCAGGTTATTGCATCCTCTTGTATATAACAAGCCATGGCTTTGTGTAACTATCGATTGCAATATTAATGTGTTTTGTAGATTTTGTCGCCGCGCTTGCCGGTGATATCATGGTGTTCTGATAAATATTTGGGATGATTCTAGTGTATTGATGCATTTCGATAACTGACGGAATTACCGCCTGATACTCATTTTCATAACCGTCACCAGGTCGTCCTATAAAAGAGTTTGCATTTGAGCTTTCTCTATCAGCACTTGACGAAACAGCATTGCTCTCGTCTTCATTAGATATATTGTCATTGTTCTCTTGTTCAAAGCTAGTTGTTGGATCAACAATCCCATTGTTATAATTTATTGTACCAATTTCATCATATTGACCTTCTGGGGAGATTTCCATCGTCGCATTAGATCTTCTGTTTCGCCATAGACGACAGTAGATATGTGAGCCAATACAGCATATCAGCATTACTCCGACAATGTTTCCAATGATAACTAAGCAATAATCATATGCAGCACGCGTTTTTAGTTGATACTCTGCAAATAAAATCAAAGCTTTTAATAATATCGTCTCTGATTCATCATTGATTAAGTTTTTATGTTGGTTTATTAACTACTAATGATTCTACTTGTAGTATGGGGTTATAAAGCGATCTAACAACCTTTGAGGATCTTACATTTCCTAACAATATATTTCTGTTTTATTTGAAATTAATTGAAGGAAGGGTATGTGTTAAAGGTCATTTACATTTTTGCAACAAAGGAATATTATCAGGCATGAGACCATGGTCAAATTTAAATATACGCTATACGAGATTAATTAAAAAATACAATGATATGGCACATTCCGCAGTTGATCTCAAAGTTCAAAAACTTGAAAACTCAGTATTGATTCTGTCTTGTAATCGTGTAATATATTTGATTTTCTGAAGTCTGATTACGGTATCTATCACAGCTATTTCATGAACATATTATCAGGATTAAAAGTTATTTAACTTGTATAAAAAGAACCAATGTGACCTTAAAATTAAAAAGTAGTGGAATTAACAGTAATGATACGGTTTAAGGATAAACTTGTCAGTACTACCCATCAACCATGCGAGGTAAAAATTGATATAGTCTTCAATACGCGATTTTATGAAGGATAAACGCATTTGGTATAAACAGACCATTTGTATAGACATTTACAACAAATAGGAAAAAAAAGAACAAAATTGACACTCGTTCATATGTCTTCTATGCTTGTTTTATTGATTGAGCGCATTTACCATGAACGAATTTCGTATAGAATGGTAATTGTTTCAACCATATTTTAGGTAAATTATTGAGATCCTCAATGCTTCTTTTAAAAATCGAATACCCAATATCTCTTATGTACAATATTCAAATAAAACTCTTATATGTTCTTTTCCTTAAATTCATTTTTAAAGAGTTGGTAGCTACCAAGAGGACGGTCAAAATTGATTAGTCGACGATAAATTCTCAAATCATTGCCAACAAGACGAAAAGGGACGATAGACAAACAAGTCCACGAAACACTACAGAGACAATTAAATATTTAGCAGCATGGGACCAATAATTACCTCTTAAAATCCAAGTTAAACTCTAAACTTTTATGATCTCGAGTTTTTCATGAAATTAAATATATAATTCCTTTCTTAACCTGACAATGAATGTTAACGTCTTAAGTGTTTTCAAGATACAAATGTTTGTATTATTATCTACAGGAGTTGTTGATATGATGAGATGCATATCCTCGCGTTTTAGGAAACTAATTGTCTGGCATTTAAGAAATAAAGTACATTTAATAATATGTAAAATATGTTGTATAATACTATTATAAGGTTTAACTGCGATCAAACAGACAAGCATCATCTTCCCGATTGTGTACTAACCAAATATTCTACCTACTGCTATACTAGTTATATTACTATCTCCAATTATGTTTCTAGAAAACATGCGCACAAAATACTGTTTAGTTGATACCAGTTCATATATAGGATATTTCATTTTATTTCCCGAGTTATCTTTTACTGGACCTGTGGTTGTCCATAATTCGGTGTCATCAGTTCTATACTGTATGAAGAAATCCTGTTTGAATCCGCCATTAAACTCAGGAATCCATGACACTATCATGTGGCTTTCGTATTGAACCACTGTCATATTGGTTGGGGTTTGTGGTTGATCTAGATAATATATTATGAAATGGTTACGACATAAATTTGAACATCAAATATTGTTATTTTTTATCTATTGATACCAACTGCAGTATGACCAATGGAAAACCAGAATTTACAAAAATAGGTCGAATACATCATAAAAATAAGGATTACAGAATAAGTAATGATTCAAATATTGGAAAACTATCGAAAAGTGATTCGTACACACCAAATTTATTAAAGTGTTATTTTCAATTTGAAAACTCTGTACTAATAATAAAAGACATCAGTAATAATTTTCGACAGGATATTTTCACAGCGCTATGAAATACATTTAGAGTGCACATTTAAGCAAACATCTTAGTACTAAGTGGCATTTTAGGTCAAATCATGTAAGTGATAAAAATTCGTCTTATTCGTTTATGCACGCAGTTTACATCACACTAAAATATTACTAATTGTTAGTGAAAGTTAGATGCAAGGTTTATATATGAAATATCACTAAGCCAAGAAAGACTTACCCCCCGGTCTTATGTGAACAATATATGAACTACAACCTATATTGTCGCAAGCCTTTATTGTATAATATCCAAAGTGCTCCCTTGTCGCCAAACCCATGTAAAAAACAACTTTTACTGCTGATACTGTTACATTGACGCCATGCAAAACATCTTGAGTATCAATTTTTTCCTTTGTAATCCTTGGTTGTAAATACTGGTTATGATTTGATATGTTCAGTAGTATATTCCCATGTCTATTGAACAGCAAGACTGTTATGTTCAGTTCACGGTCATATTGTCCATACTGTACCCTTACGTTGTTTGAAATGAATATTGGCGGTACTACATTATAAGAAAATAAGAACATGATTGTATATTTGCATATGTTTATACTTATTTCTGTAACAATGTGATGTTAAAGGAAAATTATAGGTTTCACGTTTTGTGGCGTTGATATATTCATGTGACGCGCTGTTTAAACCTCGTTTGTGATGTCCTGGTGGACTGTCGTAAATTCATGTGAGGTGTCCGCTCTTTTTCTCTGGTTTACATGTTGTAATGTACTATTATATTATTTGTTTATGTATTTCTCTGTCCTGAGTATTCTTGCATTTATTTGTACTGTATTCCAGTCACGTAATGTTGTCATTTTAGCGGTCTTTTTAACATTGCTGTATAAGTGGGAGGTTTGGCTAGCCATAAAACCAGGTTCAACCCACCATATTTTTCTTAAAATGTCCTGTACCAAGTCAGGAATTTGGCAGTTGTTATCAAATAGTTCGTTTCTATGTATGTTGGCGATTGTTTGTGTTGCAGTTCAATGTTTTTGTTGTTTTCCTCTTATAGTTTATATGTTTCCCTCGGTTTTAGTTTTTAACCCGGATTTGTTTTCGCTTAATCGATTTATGACGGTATACTTCTGTTGCCTTTATTTATTCATATGAAAATTGGATATCGATTAATAGCATCAAGGCAAGTTTCTGGGAAAGTTTATTATTATTCTTGAAACTAAATATTGAAAGTTGATATCAAGCAAAAATTATTTTTCACGAATTGTAACAACTCGTAAAGATTAAATTTGTTTAACCCATTTCTCTCAAGTTAACGTAATATTTGTGTGAAATAGAACATACTGCAGACGTTGTTCTTGTTTTTTGGCACAGTTGGACGTAGTATGCATGGTTATGGTGTTTGAGTTTTTAAGCTATTGTTCGTTTCACAATGGACTCATATTTGACAATGTGAGTGTGTTGTATATTATTCAAGATATAACAAGATATGGCAACGATAAATAAGAAATCTGGTTAGTCCTCTGAAAGTCATTATTTGCCTAACGAATATTCAATAAAAAAATGCAATTTCGTATCACATTGAAGAGTAGTCTTACCAAATTGAAGCATGTTTCGTTTTTCTTACTCATATCACATCACATTCAATGAGATTCAGGGAATATCTATTCATGTGAACAATTTAAAATAGACCACAACAATAAGACCCTGTTCACACTTTGATATTGAGATCCATTTAAACTAGATCGGTTCACTTAAAATCGATTTAAGCCCAATGTGAACGCTTTGAATAGATCTTGAATCGGTCTAAACTAAAACACAAAAAGAAGTAGTTTAGTTTGAATCGATTTAAAGTAAAACGATCTAAGTTTAAACGCAGAAATAGATCTTAACGAGTACGATTGAATCGAAAATAACTTGTGCGCATGTATGGTGGCAAAATAACACATGCAATTTATTACAAATTGGATGACCAACGTAAAAGGGCTGAACATTAACGAAATATACACAAACAGCAGTATCAAAATTTGAACTTGTAATTCAAGTGAAACAAATACTTATCCACTATATTTGTACTAGCGTGTGTATCAACACATTCTTGTGATTAAATAATTATATTTATACACAGTGTTCACAATTTCATGGGTAATTAATCCATTTTTACTTGAAGTGTGAACGCAGTGGTTCAGATTACACCCATATAGATCGTTAGGACTAAAAATAATGTGAACGCTAACTGGTTTTATATAGGTCGATTCAAATTTAGATCGATTAAAATTTAGATCGATTCAAAAAATGCTAATGTGAAAGGGGTCTTAGAGAACACTATATAATTGTCTTGCTTTTTTGAATGTTAAAGTTAAATCTTCAGATCTATTCAACATTTTTCTTGGAAATCAATTCTTAATGTCCTCGAATAAAAAAGAAAAAAAATCAATACATGGTTAACATATAGTTTATTGTGAGACCTAATCGTATCTTACCTTAAGGGACTTTTAGATCGATGTTATACCATGTTTTTTGTTTTTTGATTTTAATTTTTGCCATAATATTCATAATTAAAATTAACGATATAGTTTTATATTTTTGCATTTTATACCTGTAGATTGAATTAAAACTGCTCCTTCTTGGTATACATTTTTATATTTATCTGCTATACCATTTGACACTCTACATATATAAAAGCCGTCATTTTCATGAGGTCGGGTTTTGTTTGGTGCACCTATAATGAGATTTCCTTCTGGGGTTCCTTTAAGTTTTCGAATTGTTTCATTGTATTCCGATCGATGATACCATTTTTCAAAGGTATAACGTTTTGGATTACCCTCTGGATTACAGTGCAGAATTATATTTGTCCGGGAAAATTGTTGCGATACGATGACTGATGGAGGATCTGGAAAAAAAAGAAATAAATTGTATGTGTAAATACATACAAATACTAAGCAAAATGTATATTTGTTAAATATGCTACAGTTGCATCAGTTCATATGAAGCTCCGCCAAAACACAATTCATATGAATAAGAAGATGTGGTATAGGTCCTAAAGAGACAACTCTCTATCCAAGTCACAACGTGTAAAAAGTAAACAATTATATGTCAAAGTACTTCCTTCAACGCGCAGCTTTGATTCATACCTAACAACAAGCTATGAAAGGCCCTAAAATGACAAGTGTAAAACAATTAAAACAGGAAAAACCAACGGTTTCATTCTCACAGTCAGGCAAACAACCCATAATTGTAAAATATAGGGCATACATCACCAGCACGGGCACACATTCTACTGCATCCAATCAGCACGAGCAACAAACCCTGCAGTTACTATAAAGAAGAAAATGTGGTATGAGTGCCAATGAGATGACTTTCAATGTATTTTTATTTCATATGTTTATGATACCTTAAAGTAATTAAAGTTGAAAGATCACAAAGATAAAAGTTTTCAAAAAAAAATGAAAAAATACCCAAAATGCTCTATCATAATAATACTTACACAGGACATTTATTTCTATGGACTTATTTGATATTCCTATTGAATTTGAAGCAAAACATGTGTATCTTCCTGTGTTGGTACGGTGAATCAGCTTGAATGTCAAACATGATTCAGTATCATTGAAAACTACAAGTGTAACATTCCTAATCCAATATAGATAAGATATAGGTGGGTTGCTGTGTCCTTGACAACAAACTTCTAACGAAGTATTTTCGATAACTTCTTGGTGTGCAAGATAATCAGCATTCAGTATTGGTTTGTCTGCAAAACATATTATTTCATTTTAGTACTATTACGATTATGTGCTTTTCACAGTTATTAAAATTTTGATTCTTTCAATTTAATTTATAAACATTTGGATATATATATATATATATATATAACTGCTAATAGAAAACTATGTATCAAAACAACAGGACAAATAGGTCAAATATGGTAATAATCGATATAGCGTTGGTGCTAATTTAAATGAAAAAAAAAACAAAATCTAAAGCTCTACGTTTCTTTGTATATCTAAGTTATTCAGACTTAAAGACTCGGATACATCAACTGCACATTATGATCATTTTGAGAAAGAACATGGACATCATTGCTGGCAATGGGGTACGATTGAACTGTAAAATATTTTGTACGGAACAGCAAGGAAGTAGTTACAAAAATAAAGGAAATAATAATACATATAATTAAAGATGCGTAGTTAACATGTAATTATAAAAAAAATCTTATATTCAAGAACTGCTACAACACTTTGATCATTTTAGGTTGCACTTTGTAAATACGGATGTCCCGCAAACCAAGCCTCATTTGGGGAGATATATAATATTCATAGATAATTTGTTTTGTTTACGTACTGGTTCCCAGATGAATGTATGATATTTATGTTTCATCTCATAGAGACATAACCATGATAGCTTGGGAATGTTACCAGTATAAATACACATGAATAGCGTTTAAATTAAATTCTGAGGAAGACCCAAAGTGAAGGGAGGAGTAGTACAGACTTTAAGTATAATTTTAAACTCCTAGAAGTTCAGGGAATATAAATGTTGAAAATATGCAACACAGCCTTATGTTTGACCTTTTATGTTGTGCATTTTAGTATTTACAGGAGAAACGAAAGACAGACTTCACAAACAAACAAATGGGTGACTCGAAATAAGTAACATTTCCAATGTTCCCTTCCATACTTGTTTCAACAACTTTTAAAAATGAAACATCGCTTGATAACTCTCATGTATCTAATTTATTGAAAATAAAACCTGGACCCTTACACAAAACGACAATGCCACAACATTGATTTCGAGCGTCCGTAGCGCATTGTTAGGTTTACCCTTATCAGAAACGTTTAAAATCCAAGGATATATAAGACCAAAATGGGTCAATATCCCTAATGGGCCTCAAATTGAGGAACACAAAAGTTGTTAACGAAAAATCTCTATGATATTGGACATGTTTCGTTATTAAACAAATGACTGAGCTTGACAATTTGTGTTGATTTGGAAAGTAGAGGACCATAGAATACATTTGTAAAAAGTATGGCGTTATCAAATGTATGCAAAGTATAAATTTGTTAAAGAACTTATTGTGTGAAAAAAATGATTTTTTAACACGTGGACCTTCATCAGGAAAGGATTTCTGGGATGTGCTAATTTACGGAAAAATATTAATCTCACTTCGTATCCACATATGTAAAAATGTCTCAGCTTTGAAACGAGCCATCATACATATCCAAGTTTACGATATGGACCGATATTGGCCATTAAAATATGCAAATATTCAAATTTCAAATTCAAATTATTTATTAACTTTGAGCCTTACGGCTCATCAGTGTATTCAAATACAGAGTAAACATATGGCATATTACAAACAATATTAACAATATGCATAAATAACAATAGGTGAGGTCAGAAGTTTCATGATTACAAAATATTTTTACAATAAACTTTTTCTTAATTTAAAAGAGAAATGTACATATTTTCCTAAGTTACAAAGCTGTTTTGTGTTTTCACCAAACAGTAATTCTATTAACTTAAAAGTTGATGGCCTAGACCAGTAATAGACAAACAGACAAACATATTTTAAGAAAAGAACAAATTGCTGTACTTTATTGAACAGTAGCAAATCACAAGATATTGTCTTTTCTCGGTGAAAAAAGGGAGAGAGTCAAACATAAACCTTTTAAAAACAACACCTATTTAGCTATTCAGCTACTACTGATTGCTCCTCATAAAAAGGTTAAAATGAAGGTTGTTAAGCCACATGATAATACAACTTGCGTCAATTTTTTGTCTTGTTTCAGTTTCAGACATATTATCCAAGACTAACCTGAGTCTGCAAATTAGAGGTTTAAAAAAGTTGTGATTCACTGGAAAGCACTAGTTACTGATCTTTTCGACTAAACATCTTGAGTAAACCCTAAGGAAACTGTTCGTTATGTAACACTGCAAACTGTGCTTAGCATCATTTTTATCAGTCGTTATGTAATGACATCATAATACGTGTGATGTCATAATGTTTACCCGAAAACCTAATGTGCATTTCTGACTGATTAAGGGTTTTAACTAAAATACATTAATTTTTCTTTAAATAGAATTATGTGAAAGGACAAGTTTTTGAAATTTGTTCTTCAGTGTACTTTGATTACATGATAAATAAGACATTCACAGCAGTTAAGAGTGGTTTCTAAGATTGAAATTACAGATTTTCAGTGGTAAAAACTATGAATTATTTTTTCAGGGTTTTTGATGAAATCTACATGTTTGCATAATTTATCAGTAAAAATGCACTTCTAGACATCAAAGCATTTTATTAAATGCGTTAACAGGGTTTGTATTTTGTACTCGAAGGTTATCATCAGATGTTTTATCCATATTCCGACTCGTGAAGTTATACCAGAAGAAATCAATTATACTTACACATTGTATTCAAAATTAATAGATATAGCGATAAAAGGGCCATTTAGTTTCTTTCAAAAATCGACAAAAATACACAGATGTATTCAGAGAGTCATACCGTTGAAGATCACACAAGAATGTTTGGAAAAAGCAGAACTATAAATTTTAATATGGGTAAATATCCCTAATGCGCCTCAAATTGAGAAACAAAAAAGTTATGTGAAAAAATGATTTTTTTACCACGAGGAGCCGCATCACGAAGGGATTTTAAGGGTGTGCTAATTTACGGAAAAATGAATCTCTCTTCGTACCGCGAAAATTAAACCACATATGTTATATGTCTTAGCTTCAAAACGAGTCATCATAAGTATCCAAGTTTACGATATGGACTGAGCTACAGAAGAAAATGTTCCCATTACCTCCTATGGGAAACAATTACGTATATTGACCCACATACGTGAAGAACTATATGACAAAAGGGATCTAACAATAGCCAGCATAGTTATGAGGAAGAACAACTGTATTAAACACTACTGTCCCCATAACGAATACGTTGAACGATTCGATGTTTCGGTGTCGCAAATAAATAGCGGCACATTCGCAGCTGAATATTTAGAGATAACAGAAAAGACGTCTGATCTGTAATTTTGTGTTTATTCACGTTTGGATCACTTTGACTTCGTGTGGATTCCCATATCAGCTACTGGATGAATAGGAAGAGAGGTTTACCAGGTAGTTAACATTTTTATGAGAGTTCGTATTGCATTCAAAAAAATTAATACATACATGTAAATATATTTTAAAAAGTAGGCAAATATATTATTTTACTTACACTGGATATCTAATGTTACTTCATCCGTCAAAGGCATTTCTAGCATCTCACTAAGGGCAGAACATTTAAATAATTTCATGTTGTCTCTTTTGGTTGGGGTAAAAGAGTATACCAGTGTACTATTTCCACCCATCGCTACATTTGAACCATTTTGGGCCAAAAGAAGAGTTCCCTCAGGTCTACCGCTTTTAACATTGCAAACTATGTCAAGTGTTTGTCCATCTATTCCACGAATTATTTGTTTGTCGTTTGTTTCCAATGTATTCAGAAATGTCAGGTTGGATGGAGGACCTTTAAAATTATGTTTTGATAGTTAAATAAACCAATTTAATAAGAAAAAACATGAAAAGCTGTTTCTCTATCCGTTGTTTCTAGAAATGTTAGCAGTCACTGTGATAATTTCCCATCTTTAATAGTCTTTAAAACAATACTTTTCTCCGTTTGTTAGACTGACATACAATATATTGTCGTCGACGCACATTTAAACTTTCGAAACAAATAATGTGAAGTTTTTTTTTAATATATCGCTACAATCAAGAGGCTTTTAAAAAAACCATTATTAACCTTGTTGATTCATGCTGTGCTGGAAATCGTAATATAACTAAGGATGTAAAATTTGAAGAAAGAGTGTGTGCTCTTACACTTTATTGCTAGAGAAATGAAAGAAAATATTTTTGTCTGAATGGTTCATTTACATAAAAATTTAAATCTTTTTCATCGGACATGTCGGGAAAAATGTCATAAAACAAGAGAAAAAACATAGAACCATCCGTTTATTTAATTACACTAACAACTGTATCGTAACTGGACAGTAATTTGTAACGTTTTATACAATTGTATTTAGATTCACTGGTGCATCTACATCACATTAAAAATATGCCGTAGGCCGTGATTATACTTACACGTATATATATATAATGGATATACCACGTTATTGTAATCGGTACAATCAGATACAAATCCTGCAAATCTTTGCAGATGTTATATTTGTTGATGGTATATAAGTAGGGCTGTCACAAATTAAATCAACTTGACACCCCTCGGTGTGTTTTACGACCAATAAAACCTCAATATATATATTGTATATAACAGAATGGTAAATACATGATGTCAGATCAAGTATAGAATATTTTTTGCAAGGCAATTAGTTTTTAGAATTTCTCGACTATACAGTATTTATATTTCAATAATAGTTTCTTACATATTGACCAAAATCATTTTGTGTCAAATAGTTGACTACATTATCTTTGATATGTTTTATTATTATTTCTAATATAATTATGTGAGACTTGTACATAGTAAATTGAGGGATTGTGATATATATATATATATATATATATATATATATAAATATAAAACAGTTGGTGTATTGCAGATATTTTTCGTGGCTTTATTTTGTGTTTTTATTTTACCGATTCTCGTCGTATTATTAAACGGCAATTGTGACTAGGATTGGCAAATTATTTTCATTTGAAGTCCGTCCAAATAGTTCATTATCATAATTGTAGCATACTATTTGTAGTTTTATTAAACACTAAGACTTTAACTTACTTTTTAAATATAGTGTGAATTTTTGTAAATATAACACTCCTGATTTCCATAACTCGCATGTGTAGCTTCCAGTATCCACATCTGAGACATTTCTTATAATCATGTTGCATATACTCTTACTATAATCTCCAATGATATCAATATTCAAGTTTTTAAGATTTTCGGTGAGTATCAGGCCTCGTGCGTAAAGTTCTGTTCCTTGATCCATACTCATTCTTCTAATTGTCGATCTTTGTGGACCGTACCATGAAAATACGGTTTGACGGAAGCAAGTGCAATTGAGAATAACGGTTGCATCTAATTCAACAAATATGCTAGTGTGGTTCTTTATGTAAGGTGATTTGCCTTGATAAGAATACAATTATAATGATTAATTTATTCAAAAAATATTTCCACGTTTTCCCTATATATTTGAAAAATAAATGTTTATCTTAAAGCTTTAAGTATATAACCTTTTTCAATCAATTAATAACAGGCCGTGATTTTGTGTGCTAAAGAAGGGTCAGTTGTGTATTTATATTTTTTCCCATTGATTTTGCTTACATTCAAACGGTTATATCGTATTGATATAGCCTTTTTTGTGCTGATGCTGCGTGAAGAAATTGTCAATCAATCAAACACTCAATCAAAAGGTTATACAGATTATAATAATTGCTTCACGTCTTTAAAAGACATATCAATGGTAATATTTATGTTGTTTCACATTACTTTTTCAAATGTGTCAGCTAACTGACTGCTAGTATATTACCTGTGGAAAAACAATCAGGCAGAAATGTCACTAAAATCGTCAGCGTAATGACTAACATTCTCATACCTATATATAGAATAAACATAATTTAATAAATTAGGACATAAACATACTGTAAATTCGAAAATTATTGCCAGGTTTTATAAATGCGAATAATTTGACTTGGTGGGTACTTCATAAGAAAATGTCTGTACCAATCAGGAAAATGACGGTTATTATCAATTCGTTTGATGTGTTTGAGCATTTTGATTTTGCCATTTGAATATGGACTTTCCTTTTTGAACTTCCCTCGGAGTTCGGTATGTTTGAGATTTTACTTTTTGCAATAGTGCGACCACGTGTTCTGACACCTGAATCAAATATTTGTATCCAGATTTTTATAAATTCGCATATTTTGATCTCGCATGTTTGTCTATTCTTTAGAGTTGAGGCGAAAGATACCAAATGGATACCAAATTCATAAGTCGAATATAAACTGACAACGACAATACAAAAAAAAAAATACGACCAAAAGACAAACAACAGTAATCAAAACACAACATACAAAATGAAAGCCACCACTAACCAGGGGCGATCTCAAGTGCTCTGGAAGGGTAAGCAGATCCTTCTTCATATATGGAACCCGTCGTGTTTCTCAAGTTGTTGACAATTCTAACTAGGTAGGTCACAATCGGGGAAAAGAAGAGTTGATAGCTGTTCCAATAATTGGAGCATATTCATCGTCATTTGTGAAAATATTTTTCGTAACGGTTTACCAACCCGTAATCATGGTAATAGCGTCCAACAATTACAAAAATAAATGTACGCAATAATTTTAGAATTAAGATTAGTACATTATCTGAACTGTAAAATAAAAAAAACTAGTTTTTGCATTAAATATCATGATTTTCTTGCTAGAGGTAAGTTAGTTCTAAAATATAGATAGAATGTCTTAATGTTGTAATTCAATTATATAAACTGTTTACGACCTCATCCTGTGTTACTTTTCGAATTTTCGGCTTTATCAGAGTACGAAGTGTGCAAAACGTACAAGGTACACATTTTCAAATATAAATGACCGCTTAAAGTCTGAGTAAGAGTTGGTAACAAAATAAAGCCTTAATGATCCATCACTGCTTGAAGAATAGGTAAAAATATTTCATACACTACAAATATCTGTGGTCGACATTTATAAAAAAATAATTTTAAGTACTTCCATTTACCCTCTTAATTTTAATTCTTGTATTTCTTAACAAAAGATAATAAGTAAAGCATGTGTAAGCGTGTGTTTTCCATTCAAAATGTATGATCAAGTTGGACAAAACATGGGGTTTGGGCACACGTAAAATTTGTTTGACATCACCACGTGTTTGTCTGTACTAATTTAGACTTCCTGCAGCTGGTATTGGTATGATTTTTTTTGTTTGTCTTTCAATTTTCGTTTTTGTTGTTAGATTCATGTGTTGACTGGGGTTAACTATGCAATCAACAGTTGTTGACAGTTCACACGAGGGATACTCAAAGTTATATAGTTTTAGTAGAATGATTAATTGAGTTCCTTGCTTTTGTTATTATAGAGATGTTTTTTGAAAACGTTTCATTTGCTACTAACACTTAATTTTTCGTCACATTAAAGGAAAGCATCGAAAGCTGATTATTGCAATCCACTACAGCATGAAACAAAAAATGCTGTCATCTTGTTAAATAAATGCTTATGATATTCAAAAACATATTTTGCTTGTAATCAAATACGAAAAAGCTTTAGTGATTACCAATTCATTCCAGAAAATAAAAGCAAACATATACAAAGCCAATTATTTAATTGCTTTATTTTTCAACCAGCTAACATTATGCACATGTTTTGGAAATGTGAAAATGTACAAACTTGCTTGACAATTTTGAAACATGGACTGCAGGTACAGGAAGCTTTACAATTGATAATAATTGTGTAAAATACATGCATTTGGTACTTATATGTTAGAAACGGTATTGTACTTAATATAATTTGTAAAAAAATTGTATTTTTTCAAACCGATGCTGAAAAACTGTTCTAAACACCTGTTAAATTATCTGTACCATACTTTCAAAATTTAGCTATGCATGAATAAGAAGAACCGTTTGATAGGGAATGAATTAACTGTGTTAATATTTGAAACAAAAGACACAACAACCACACACACTCATGCATTAGAGCCATTGCTCTTGTTGATCATTTCGTTATCGACCCCCAATTTTACAAGAGGCAAACATGTTAAACACTAGTTACTATCATTACTTTAAATGATATGATCAAATCAGGCTTAACCCATGAAACATGGGCTTGGGTAAGACTGTTGAGGCCAACCTAGTGAAAATATTTTGACCCCGGCTTAAACAGAGAAAAACAAATGTTTTGGCCAACAGACAAATGCGGGATTATCACTCCTAGTTGCAATGCGTCACGCATCATCAAATATTTGATGTAGCTTGATACATAAGATAGAATAACTTAAAGTGACGAAAAGAAGTTAAAAGAATGATATCAGTTTAGTAACGATTTGAAACAGTCTTTCTAAACACAAGTTACGAATTATTTCTCTATTAAAACAACCGGAAAGCCGCAAAAATAATAACACGAATAGTTTGAAGTCTTGTAAATGATGTTGAAGGATAACAAAACCAGAAACAAGGTCAAATACTTCCTTAACGGTATTTTCAGTGAACGGTTTTTAATGGATTTCAATCTTTGGATTTCTGTCTACTGTTTTGTTATTCTATTT